TATTGTGCACTTTTTAATAGTCATTTATTGTCGAGTTATAAAATTCATAAGCAAAAATGAAATTTGTCTAAAAATCATCAAATTTAAATCTTCAATATCATTCAAATGGTGAGATTTATGGAAAAAATATAAGATACCTTTTTTGTAGAGCATTAAATTTCCTACAAAATTCGTCTAGAACATTTTTCTGTACAATCAATAAATAATGAGGTATGAATTTTAATCTATGGGACTGAAAAAAAAAATAAAAAACTGCGATGCGGAGGATCTTCCTATTAAAATTAAGGGCTCATATTGGGTGAGAATTCTTTTAAGGTGTCTAGAAACCCATTTTTGCGTGGCACTTAAAAAAAAAAATAAGTCATTTTTTTGACCCACCCTAATATATATATATGCYTATGTGTTTTTATATATATGTATACATTAAGGTTGTGAGAGTAGAAAATTGGTTGTGGGGCCGCGTATCGAACGATAAATTAAGTCGATCGTATGGCTCGAAACTGTGGAAAATAGCGGTGTTTCAATAGATCAGGGTTGCCGAACGAACGTTCTTCTCATGTACGTACATACATATATACCAATATACATACACGCGTATATAGGATTTATATATGGATATATAAAGTATTCTATCGTGGTCGTATCTCTCTTTCTCTCTCTCCCTTTCCCCTAATGTCGGTTGATCGTTCGACGATCGAGAAACGTGTTTTGAGGTGTAGAAGCAAGAAAGCCAGTTCAACCGTCCGTTCTTCGTGTCGGATAATTGATTAGGCATTTAATTGGACGGAATAGCAAAGGTGAAGAGAAATAGTGAGAGTGAGAGAGATGGAATATAGGATAGAACGTGTACATATGTGAGCATGCGCATAAGTTTCGCGAAGAGAAAGCTCAAGAGGAGCCTGACGAAGTGCAAGTCAAGCCATGGCAAGTCCATTTTCTTGTACCCTACCCCTCCCCCTCCCTCCCCTTCTTCCTTTTCCTCCTCTTATTCCCTCTTCTTCCTCTTCCTACTACCACCGAGTCAAGGAGAGGACCTGAATTATGGCGTCATCAGTTAGAAATAATGAGCCTAGCTACAGGACCGAGGTACGCGTCAGCGAAAGTCTAACCCAGATAACTTACGCTTATTTCAAAATTGATTTATTTTGTCTCCCCCTTTGGTCCCTCAACACCACCCTCCACCTCTAAGCGCCACCACCGCTATCATCACCGTGTTTGTTATATCGTTGCATTTCATTTTGTTCAATTATAATCTCATTCGAGACTGTTTTCTTTTTTTTGGTTAATTAATTTTTTTTGGGGAAGATTTGAACATTCGTACACACAATATATGAACTTATTTTTTTTTATCTTAAATATTCGAAAAAATAATTTATTTATTTTATAATATAATTTTAACTTGTGTGTGTGTTTTTCTTTTTTAATTTATATATATATATATTTTTTTTCTTTAAATATTCGGTCAAATGATTTATATATTTTATAATATAATTTTTTGTATTACACTAAAATACAAGATTTTTCTTTAAGAATAATTTATTTATTTTTTTGTTATTTTAAATAACGACAAGAGTAGCTTTAAATTAAAGTAATAAGCGTCAAGGGGATATATTTTCTCTATTTTTTTTTTTTTTCATTATACAAATGTCCGATTGATCGACAAGCAATCATTATTTTCAACTTAGCTGATACGTAAGTAAAAAATCTCAAATTAAACGAACGACGACTGACAAGGACCTTTTACTTCTCCCTTTTTTTCTGTAATATAATCGACATTAAGAAATTTGCAAATGTTGTAACTTTCGATAGGCCAATTTGTCGATTTAATTGATAAATAAATTCATATCGTGTTCTCCTCTTTTAATCTTGTTCAATTTTTGAAAAGAGGGAACAAAGAGAAAGAAGATATTTTCTCTTTTTCTTATTCTTTTCATTTTCGTTTTGAAGTTAAGAAAAAAAAAAAAGAAGGAAAAATAATAGAATTGATCGAGACCGAAAGGCTGATTCCGAGTTCTTCTTGAGTTGACAGAGAAAAATGAAGACGGCCATTGGCTTTACTTCTTTACGAGAAGAAAGTATTCGTTCGATGTGGGAGGTAGGGTTGGGAGAGGGTGCAGGGTGCATAAGTCATTATTTCGCGATAGATTTTCACCGGCTGTGTGGTAGTGGGGGGATACCTCGAGGAATAATTCTTAGACCTTCTTTTCAAATCCTTTTCAACCCCTTCCAAACACCCCCCTTCCCTTGTTCCTTCTTAACACCACCCCCATTTCCCCAACCCAACTCACCTACACCTCTTCCAGTCTTTTTTTCCTCCTTTCTTTCTTTCTTTTTTTTTTTTTTTTTTATAGCAAAACCATCGCGGACTTCGAAGGTGTGCGAGATCAATGGGGGTAAAACTGCCTGAAGGAAAGAAAAAAAAATTCACTGGGTTCTAAACGACTCGCGGTCTAGACACACCAACGAGAAGAATCTACACAAAAGCTTTTCTATCCTTATTTGACGCAAAAGCTCTCTCAAAGTTCTTAAGATAAAGTAAGAGAGAAATAGGAAAAGAAGAAAAAGAAGAAGATAGAAAGAAAAGAGTTAAAACGAGAGGATGATTCGGTCTAAGATGGAAAAAGGGATCATCCTTCCACGTCTTTCAGAAACTATGCTAACGTTTCTATGAGGTGGATCGTTCGAGGCCAAGGAGTCTCTTGTGAAATTCTCTCAGTTGTCTCTTTAGATTATCTTTTCCTAATTTTATTTTTATACGAATGAAATAAAAAAAAAATAATAATAAAAAAAAAAAAAACAACGAGACGGCTCGATTAAAATTCTCCCTAATTTTTTTTTATTTAATAATTTTGTTCAAATTTAGTATAACATAGTATATTGTTGGTATACAATTTGATATGCGAATAATATTATTTATTTAAAAAAGACACGTTTTATTTTGTAAGAACATTTTTTGCAAAATTCCATCGTATTTTCTTTGAAATTTCAAATAAAATTTGTTAACGTCACTGGAAGAATATAATATAATACGCGATTAAGAAATTGTGTGAATTGTATTTTTATTATTTTATTAAAATTCAATCAAGCGAATACAGTTAAAAATGTTATATTTATAGAAATTTAACGAAACTACGTGAAAATAATTACATTATAGAACGTTGATAATAATAATAATAATTTAATCAACTTCTCATCTGCAATATTTGCAAAATTTCGAAGATTGAAAGAAAACCTATAATTAAAATTTTTTATAAATTGATTTTAATTAGATTAATATTCTACTAGAGAAGTAATAATTTTCACTTATGTTAAATCCGTTTAAAGATTACGCGGAAGATATGACCTATTTAAATCATACTTAAACGTGGATATGTACACATATAAACGTGCACACACACACAGTATCCCAAGTACCTTCAAGTAAGTATATTTTGTTAGAGGAACAGAAATTAGAACAGTGTCTTCTTGTGTGAAGTTAGAAAAGGATAAATCCAGTCTTCTCCATTTTCGACTATATTCTCAGTTCGAGATTGTCTGTTAATTAATTGAATTCGTTAGAAGACGAAACGGTTTCCATGTGTTAAAGGGAACTAAAACTATTATGCTTTCTAAATGCAGATGGTGAAAAATTTATTAGATATTCGAATTGATTTAATATAAGGATAACGAAAACATTCTCTATTTGATATAAAATTAAAAAGAAATCCTTGAATTATTTCGGTCGACGAAAAGTTCTTATAAATATTTCTCATTTTATTATTTCATTTATTTATTTTAAGTAAAAATGAACCTTCAAGAGAGAGAGAGAAAATCGCGCTTTGATTAATTTAATTGAACCAAAAAACAATTGATTCAAGATTTTATTATTAGATGAGAAATTGATTTTACTATTTCTGTCATTTATTTTATGTGAAAGTAAATTAGATCACAAACGGGAAATGTAAGGTAATACGATTATATGTTTGAAGAATTTTAAAATAAACAAAATGACTAACATTGAAATGAAACAATATTCATCCACGTAAGTGTTAGACTATAATCAATTTCTGTACAAAAATATTTTGAAAACATTGTTAAAAATTTAATCCTATCTTTGCATTTTAATAAAAATGTTTAGAGCACTGATTGCTCGATAACAAAAATGAAAAATTATTAAAAATCTTTTTACAAGCTAAATAACAATTCAATTTTATGAATCTGTTCATACAAACACACAACGTACATCACTTCATATATAATATAAACATAATTTTTTAATTTAAATAATACTTCAAATTTCCAAACGCATTCATTTATCCCTATTACATATATACTCCTTCCATGAGTTTACTATTTACTAAAAGTTCATTCAACAGGAAACGGAATAATTACCTTCAGTATAGTTTTAGAAATGAAATGAAAATCAAGATAAACAATATCTAAAATATATATATCTAGAAGATAAAGATAGGAATGGTGATAGTATATAGTTAGGTAGGTGTTCATTGTGAATCGTCTTTCGTGTCGTCAGTGGTAGGT